GAGAGGCCTGTCCTGTTTGGAAGTGGCTCTCATGGGAAGCCTCAGGAGCATTTGTAAGAATTGCCTTTGTTGTGAAGTGGAGTTTCTGTTCTCGTTGTGGTTGTGTGTTGAAGCTGGTGCCTATGGTGGGAAACAGCCTTTTGGGCAAAGCAGATGCTTCTGCAAGAGATTTTCTATTCCCCGCCTTGAAAACAAAGCAAAACAGAAACAAAACCGACAGTGTGGGATTTGAAAGGAACCTCCCTGGTTTTGTAATCGTGTGAAATTCTATTTTCATTGAGGTGAAAAAAAATAGCTTGAAAGTCTACGGCTCAGAGCCCGGAGGAGAGAGCTGTGGTGGGGTCACCATCCCTGGAGGTGCTCAGTGAACGTGGAGATGTGGCACTGAGCGATGTGCGAGTGAGGATGAGTCGGGGATGGGGATCTTAGAGGTCATTTCCAAGCTGAGTGCCTTTATGTAGCCATCACAACCTGCCAGCAGCTCCTAGTTGCTTAATGAGCTCGGATTGCTCATTTACATGGCCTCTGCTTTCTGCCCCTGCTGTCTCTATGTGGTTATCAGTGTTGGGAAAGACACTGCGGTCAGCTCTGCCCTTTGAGCCTTGGCTAAACCCTTCTGCTGAACTCTTGGAAATAACCTTGCTGCAAAGCCTGCCTTCCAGTTGTATTTAAAGCTGCGGTCACGGTTTGGCAGTTGAGAGGATATGAAACATTAAAGTTCTTTTTAGTAAGTTTTGGGCCGTGCTGGAAACAGGGACATCCATTAAATCACCGTGCACAACATCACAGCCAAATTTTGCTGTAATAACCTAAGGGTATCAAAGCAAGGTTTGGTGGGCTTTTTTGATCAGCTTTAGGCTGTGGTTTTGATGTTGGAACATTTCAGAGGAGGCTTTACTGCTCCATTTGCATTACTGATCTGATGGCAACAGTGGAGCAAAAGCTAAAGATCTGTCCTAAGAGTGGTTGGATTATACAAGCCCATTTAAATAAGAGCAGTGAGGCAGTGCACAGCCTGCCCAAGAGGTGGTGTTGCCCCAACCTTGCAGGCACCTGAGGCCAGGAGATGAGCTGTGAGCACTGATGGAGCTGTGGGTGTCCCTGTGCACTGCAGGGAGGGGGACCTGATGGCCTTTAAGAGTCCCTTCCAACTCAAACCATTCTGTGCTTCTGTGATCCACCAAACTGTTTTAAACGTGCTCGGGCAAAGCAGAGCGTAGGAGGCAGGGTTCATCCTTTAGCCATAAGCATTGCAGGTTTTGGGGTCTGTGGATAAGTTAATTACTGGGAGGCAAAAAAGCTTCAGCCCAAACGTCACCTTTATAACACAGCTGTGGGATGAGTTTGCTTTTCAAGTCACGTGGGGTTACAGCTTAGAGCTGTGTTAATGCTTTCCACTGGGACCTGAATTCAGAGGCCTGGGGGGGTCAGCCCAGGGCAGTGCACATCTGGCTGCGTCCTCCTTCCCATTACTGCTCACTGGGGAGGTGAGCTGGATGGAGGGAGGTGTTAGCACACGGGAATGGCAGGGATGGAGGAAGGAAAGGAAGGAAGACAGAAAAGGCTGTTGCAATAAAGGAAAATGAGTCTGGTCGTGGAGACCCCGTCCTCTCGGCTTGGTGATGCTCAGGCTGCTGTTGCAGCCCTGGTCACGCATCAACACCCTGAGATGCAGAAATAAGGCTGGGAGGAGCAGACTCGGCAGCAGCACAGTCTGTGGCTCCCTCTGCTGAGCCCAGCCCTGTCTCTGTGAGCTGCAGGCCTCAGAAACAGCCGTATTTTCTGTACGAAAGTGAGAACTGTGGCTGAGCTGGGCGATGTGCCCCCAGCTGAGCAGGGGCAGAACTGTGGGCATCTCCTGCTACCTGCCACCGGGACCCTGCCCCCAAACTGCACAGAGGTGGGGGCTGCTGATACAAACAGACATAAGCATCCACCCAGGCACCTTGCTGGGGTGTGGAGGGCGGCCTTATCTTCACAAGACTGCAAACGCTGATAGTGTGGAGATGCAGAGATTTATGGCACCCATTCAGGCTGGCATATGGCAGGTAGTCCTTATCTATCTGCCTTTCCCTGTGGCATTCAGAGGCCAATAAAAGGCTGTTCCTGGCCTGCCAGCACCCCAAGGCATAGGGCATATAAGGGCAGACCCGCTGTCCCCGCACGCTGCTTCCACCTCCCAAAGATGCCAGCGCCTGCCTTGTGTTACAGAGCTATTTGCAGCTCCCTTTGCTGGTGGGCATGCGAAGAAAAATAGCTTGGAGACTGCTGAGCCCAGCAGTGAGGTCATCCCTGGTGCTGCCAAAAAGCCCTGGAGAGTCACAGCTACTCCTGCAGCCCCACATTGGGGGCTCCATCTTCTCTGGGACTTGGCATTGCTCCTAGGGGCATGGCTCTCCATCAGGAGGAGGGGACAGAGGCTGTGATGTCTTGTCCCTGCTGCCAGCCCTGTGCAGGGGTTAATTATTCCCTCTAACTCAAGGATCTCACCCGGGAAAGCCCTCTTTACCCATATTAAACTTCTGAGCATTGGGAAATCCCTGCCTGATGCTGACAAGAGGTTGTAACCTTGTTAAGGTAAATAGGAGTTCTTTGCACTTGCATGGGGATTTTGTGTTTAGGACACAGGAGGACGGGAGCAGGGGTTTGGAATTAGATGGTCCCTCCAACCTCAAGCATTCCCTGGTCTGCAGTTCACCTCGAGCAGCTGGGCACAGGCTGCAAAGCCACAGCTCAGCAGCCAGACGGGGCTGGAGCATGGCACAACCCCAGATCCTCAGCTGCTGGGGGCTGATCCACGTCACCATCTCCCAGCAGCATGGAAATGGTTCTTTGCTTTTCCTTTTTTAAGCTTCTTTCCAGCGAGCCCAACAGCAGGACCTGCAGACGTTTCCTAACCGCGCGGCTGCTGCAGACTTCCCCTGGAGCCCTTTCAGCCCTTCCAGCTCCAATTTTCCATCCAATTTTTCCCCCTTCTTTTTCTTTCCCTTTTCATTCGGTAGTAGCACAACAAACACATGCTTTGAAATCCAGAGTGCAGACGCGCGTATGTGGAAAGTCAAACTGTTTATGGAAGGAAAAAGCATCTCGCTGGGTTTTAGGTAATGCTTTTCTTAGCACAATGCAGTGTGGTTGGTGCCCTGTGTGCAGCCAGCCCAAGCTCTGGGCAGGGTAATTTGGGTGGGATAGAGCAATGCAATGAGTCCTTCCCTTCAGGGCCGTCCCTTCCTGCACTGCCCAGGAGCAGCTTGAAATAGCAGGAGCTTCACTGAGGTTGTGCTCAATGCTGTCGTCTGCCACTGAAGCCACAGCTCAGCTGGAGTTGGAGCTGATGAGGGACAGGGATGCCCCATGGGAGCTGGTGGGATGCACTCAGGAGCCATTGTGAGGTCGCTCTCGGCAGTCTTGGGGCGGCTGTGGTAATCAGGGATGTTTCTGAGGATGGGAAGAGAGCAAAGGTGACTCCTTCAGAAAGCCTGAAGGTGTTGGGGGAGCCGATCCTGGCACCACCTCCAGGCTCCTGAAGGACGTGTAGTCAAGGGGAGCAGTCAGCATGGATTCACCAGGGGGATTCATGGCGTCGTTGAGCTTAGAAAAGACCTCCAAGATCCCCAAGCCCAACCTTAACCCCCACCTTGTCCACTGCCTGTGTCCTTCAGAGCCACATCTCCACCACCAGGGATGGTGCACTGCCATCCTCAGGGACTTCACCGGCTCGTAGGGATGGCCAAAAGGAACGTCATGCTGCTCAGCAGGGCCACAGCAAGGCCCTATGGAAATACTGGGCCAATGGCCTGGCAAGCAGAAGGAGCTGGGAGTTCTGGGGTTGCTGGGCTTTGAGAAGTTGAAGCCCAGGAGGAGCTTAGTGCTGTGTGTAAATATCCAACGATGGGGATAAAAAGCTCAGAGCTACGAGAGGCAATGGCCACAAGCTGAAGTCAAGGAAATTCCATTTCAATGCCAGGAATTGCTTTTTTTTTTTTTCACTGTAAGGGCTGTCTAACCCTGGAAAAGGTCGTGCATTGGACTGTCCCAAACCCAAGCAGACAAGGAAGGCCCTGAGCACCCACCATGGCTTGGGTGGGACCATCTGCTCTGAGCTGCCCCTCTTCAGCCCAGTGCTAAAACAAGAGCTGTGGTTTCTTCCCTCCCTTGGTGCTGCCCAGAGCACAGCTGTTGGCACCTTGTAGAAAGCCAAGAAAGCTGAGAAAATACGGAAAAAAACAGGAGTTGTAGCCCTGGTATCCACACTGCCCATGTCCCTGTGGGACAGATGCGCAGGGAAGGCCGATTTGTATCTACCCAACTACAGTGGGACCGATGGAAGGAAAGCACAACCATCCTGGGGCGCTGAGCGCTCTTCCCTCCCATCCCTCAGCCCGCCATCACCTTGGTGCTTCCCTTTTGGCTCTCAGCCATCCTGCCTTGAAGAGAGCAAAATGAAGAGGCGGCACACCGCGGTGTTACAAAACCTTGTATTAATCATCTCCCTTCACTTTCAATATAACGTCGATATGAAATATAGCCATGACTCCTAGTTACATGGGAGCAAATGAGTAATAAATACATTGGAGCAAGTTGAAATCACGAGGGTGTTTCACTGGTAACAACATTTGAAAACTGTACACTTGCAAAGACCAGCATCTCCAAACATTAGTATTTCTGTATATCGGGAAGCTTTTACATGTAACAAACATGCTATTTCCATATATGACAAAATTTAAAAAATAGGCATTGCTTGGCAACATGAACTAGGCAAAAATATTTCTTTGTGCACTAATTTTGTACAGAAAAAACAGGACTAAAGGCATGCATGTACAATAAAGGGCTGCCCGGGAACGGCATGCAACAGAAGAGAGGTCAAAGCTCTTGGAAGTCAGCTTACAATAGGCATAAATACAGAGGGTTATATATTAATAAGGGAGGAAGTATTCTGTTTAACATTATTAACATTCCTGGTTGGGTTTGGTTGGTTGTTTTTTTTTTTTTCCCTTTTTTTTTTTTTTTTTGGTTTTTTTTTTCCTCTTTTTTTTTTTTTGTTATTTTCTTCCTATTCCTCCCAGAGGAATACACATTCACCTTTAAGTAAAGATAAAGGAATACAAAAAATAAAACTCACTTTTGCAAACTCTCGATGACTCGTATAAAATCAACTTTAGTGTTTCTCGGAGCTGCGTGTGCAAAATGCGACGTCTGCAGGACCTACTTTCCATCAGGCACATCCAAAAAAAAACCCACCCACCGAGGAAGGTGACACCACAAATTCCTCAACGCCGAGTGCTGACCGGAGCCTGCGATGCGGGATCACAGCGCGCTGGGGTCACCGGGATGAACCCCCCCCCAACGCCAGGCTTCACGATGAGCTGAGAAGCCTTGGGTTGCCCCTCTCCTGGCTCGGCTAAGGGCTCATCCCCAGCGGGACGGCGACACCTCAAAAGAAATGGGGTTATCCTCAGCGTCGCGGCCCCATAGGGCTGCCCCAGCGGGGCCGTGGGTTCAGGCTGTGGGGCAGCAGCACCAGGAGCTGCCGGGGCCGCGGGCGTAGGGAACAGTTGCACGTGGTGGGGGGAGATGAGAGGGAAATGGGTGGATACAAAAAAGAAAGGCACTGCCGCGTTATTACTAAATATCTGACTTCACAGCCTTATTCATGCAACTCTTTTTGTTGGTTTTTTTTTTTTTAATTCTTTTTTCTTTTTTTTTTTTTTTTT